GTGGCGCTTTATTTTTGCCACATGGTGTAACTGTGTGCGCATTTGTACTCGCACACACAAACACAGAGGCTAAGCATCATTTAAAGACTAAACAAACCACATGCAGCTTGGACCTCAGCGGACTTGATTACATCATAGCTCTTCTAATCCTTCTTCCTCCAGATGCGATCCGTTGACCGGGTTTTTAAGTTCATCGACCTACCGTCTGAGACACCCAAACCGGACAAAAGCAAATACTCAGATCTGATTATCGAGAATGTCGATGCACGGGCCGACTCAAGCTGGCCCAACCGCAGTCAGATCGATGTGCAGAATTTAACAGTCAAATACACAGAAGGGGGTCACGCTGTCCTTAAGAACCTCTCCTTCACTGTGGAGGGTGGACAGAGGGTACGTACAAGCAATTTCCAGGCTTAAACTCCTCTTTAAAATGCAAGTGTTACACAGTTTCAGAAAAATAAATGCTAACATGCAAACCTTTCATCAAATTGTGCATTCTGTAAAAAAGTTGTCTCACAGCATGACATTACAATGGACTATAGCTTGAATTATGCTATGCTTTTAAACAGTAGGGTCTAAAAGTCAAATATTATCAGTTAAAATGCTTAATATTTACATTACGTATTTTCTGCATCACATTTGACCTTTTGTGTAAAGGAGTTTAGGAGTTCAGTGTCTCAGATTTGTTTTAGATTTGATTAGTGGCCTAGAAATGGAAATATAGAATCTAGAATTGGAAATATTTCTTATTTATTTTAGGTCTTAAATTTTGTTTTGTTTTATATTTTCCAAAATCTTAAAACTTCATTTTTATTTCCAGGTTTAAATTATATTTTCAATCCCAGAGCATTAATTTGTGGATGTTTGCGTTGTACTGCCCTATAAAGGCGAAATGCAGTAACTACACCAACACCAAAACTGATTTTTAAATCAATTTTCTATATATCTTTTTCAAAATCTGAGCATAATTGTGCCAAGTCACGGAACTTGATTTCGGTTTTTGACAAAGTTACTGCATTTTGCCTTTGTACAAAAATGTAGGCGATGGGCAACTAAAGAGTCTCATGTGATCAGCCTTATATCTTTTTCACATTCATTTCTATGAGTTCTGTGATGTATCCATGTGAGACTGGCTTCTTGTCCAAGCTTCTAACAGAATATGTTCCATGTATTGCTGAAGATGCACTTCTATAGCATGTAAATCTGTTTACTGGTTTTGTTTTATTGTGAAATTTCAGGTCAGATTGATCATCTTTTTCAGGTGGGTATCTTGGGCCGAACAGGTTCTGGGAAGAGTTCTCTGTTCAATGCTCTCTTGAAGCTGGTTTACACAGATGGTGATATCTCCATCGACGGGGTCAACTGGAACAAAATGCCACTTCAGAAGTGGAGGAAAGCCTTTGGTGTGATGCCTCAGGTAACAGCGGTTCTGGGAACAACTTTTATCCTCTCTCTTCATAACCTCTCATGATATATTTTTGTAAATATCTCCTTCCACACCACCACAGAAAGTCTTCATCTTTACGGGACCATTCCGCATGAACCTAGACCCTTACGGTTGTCATAGTGATGAGGAGCTGTGGCGGGTCACGGAGGAGGTGGGTGTCTTTGCTGCAGGGGTCCAGAGCAAATGATCAGTGACTGTGAGGTCAAGTGGTTTCATGACCCTTTTTTCCAGAGCAATTCAAAGAAACTGGAAAAGCGTCGTCTCTACTGCTGGGACTATGGCAACACTTTATTTGCCACTGAGCACTTAAGGGTGAAGGGTGTAATTCGTAATTCAGACAACAAATTTCTAACAACCTGGGTTTCAAACAGCAATGGCTTAACCATTGGTTAAGCCAACGATGTTATGCTGGAAAATGATTATATTTGTAAATTAAAATGATTTAAAATAATATTAATAATAAAGACCAGAAATAGTATAGACAGCAAATAGTCAATTCACTATAAAACTATAAAAATGAAACAAAATAAATTAAATATTATAAATGTATTAAAAATAAAAATAGCTTAAAAGGAATAATTAAACATAAAATAAAATTATGAATAAAAATTAAAAACATTTACAATAAACTTCAAGTACAAATTAAATATTAGCTTTCTTAGCTAGCTATACACTTTCTATACCTAACAATTTTATGACAGAATCACCATCAAGGATTTCCAAGAAGTCATAAGACACTAAATCTAAACTGACCAAAACATGCCACTTTTTTCTTTGACTAAAAGAAGTGCATTATTTTATATGCAATGTTTCGGTCATCTGCTATTCGTCAGCCATTTCAAAAAAGCTTTTCTTATTTTGAACTGTTTGAACGTTTCTTAATTCCTGCCGTAGGTTGGATGACTGAAACATGAGGCCATCTGGCTATCCATTGAGAAAGGCCAGGACTTTTTTTGTGAACCAGCAATTATATGCTTAACCTCTAAATGTTGTCATGTCGGGCACATAAATTACACACTTTGTTTTGTTCCCTTGTTCTTAAGTTATAATTTAGGTGTAATTTTTATGACAACATTTAAATTCTATATCATTTCTATTTTTAGTCATTAAAAATCATTTAGTGAAGGCAGAACATTGTCTAAAATATGGTGAATGCTAGAGGTAATATACAGTATAAGTGACCAGTATGATCGACATAGCAATCCTTATGAATCATCTAGCGAACTGTGTATGTACTGCTCTCCTCTTGTAAAATACATAGACAATTTGCTGAAAGTATTTGCTTGATTTACAGTTATTTCTGTGTTCATGTGTGAAGGTCGGTCTTAAGACAGTGATTGAGCAGTTTCCAGACAAACTGGACTTCCAGCTGGAATACGGAGGCTATGTACTGAGTAACGGCCACAAACAGCTCATCTGTCTGGCTCGCTCTATCCTCAGCGGAGCCCGCATCCTCCTCCTGGATGAGCCTAGTGCCCACCTTGATCCAATGTGAGTCCCACTCCCAACACCACTGGCTGTCAAGTCCAAGTACAATGAATTCAAATCATGGTAAATAATGGTGGCTTTGCTTTGTCTTTGTTTTAAGAACAATAAAGGTGTTAAAGAAGACATTACGACAGTCTTTCTCCACATGCACTATATTACTGTCTGAACACAAAGTGGAACCGCTGCTCGAGTGCCAGTCTTTCTTGGTAAGGCTCTTGCTTTACCTCTCTCCCATCAACACCAACTTAAATGTCTTATTGTTTACATTTTTACTGTTATTTGTACTGGAGACAAAAAGGCCACATAAATTAAAAGCTGTAAGGATCACTAGTTGCACCCGACAACAGCAAAAATATTGAGTGAGCATTTTTGTATTTCAGAAATTTCTGTCAGGTAGTAGGGACAATTTATGTGTGGTTTTCAAAAAAGGCAAACATGCACTACTGTTTAAAAGTTTGGGGTCAGTACGATGTAAAAAATAAATGCAATTAATACTTTTATTCAGCGAGGAGGATCCGTTAAATTGAAAAGTGACAGTAAAGACAGTAAATTGTTACAAAATATTTCTAATTCAAAATAATGCTGTTCTTTTGAACTGTATATTCATCAAAGAATTCTGAAAAAAAAGTATCATGGTTTCAACAAATATTCTAAGCAGCACAACTGTTTTCAATACTGATAATAAGAAATGTTTTTGAGCAACAAATCAGCATAATAGAATGATTTCTGAAAGTGGCACTAAAGACAGGCAGCTTTTTTAATTACAGGAATAAATGTTATTTTAAAATATATTAAAATAGCAAAGTTATTTTAAACTGTTATAATATTTCACAATATTACAGTTTTTCCTATATTTTGATCAAATAAATGTAACCTTGGTGTGCATAAGAGAGACTTCTTTAAAAAAAAAAAAAAAGCTTTAGCAGAGCTACTGTAAAAATATATTTTTCAGTTTGTCCTTGACTCCTCTTATCTCTGTTGCAGATGATGGACAAGGGTCAGGTGAAGACCTACGATTCCATTCAGAAGCTGCTGAATGAGACCAGTCATCTAAAGCAGGCCATAAGTCCAGCCGAGCGCCTCAAACTCTTCCCTCGCCGGAACTCTAGCATGCGCTGCCCTCAATCCAAACTCAGCTCTGTTACGCAGACACTGCAAGAGGAGGCAGAGGACAATATCCAAGACACTCGCCTCTGAGCGTCTCAAACTGGAATTCATTTTGTCCTTGACTCCTCTTATCTCTGTTGCAGATGATGGACAAGGGTCAGGTGAAGACCTACGATTCCATTCAGAAGCTGCTGAATGAGACCAGTCATCTAAAGCAGGCCATAAGTCCAGCCGAGCGCCTCAAACTCTTCCCTCGCCGGAACTCTAGCATGCGCGGCCCTCAATCCAAACTCAGCTCTGTTACGCAGACACTGCAAGAGGAGGCAGAGGACAATATCCAAGACACTCGCCTCTGAGCGTCTCAAACTGGAATTCAAACAGAAACAATCAAGCTTACAATGGTCTCCAAATGGTACATTATATTGGATGACCTTTCATCAGAACATTTGACATTTATTATGAAAAAGATATGTATTTTTTCTAGGTACTCAATATCCTCTCACAATGGGACACAGTGAGGCCAGGAATAATTGAACACTGTAAAAATTGTATAATGTAACTTTTATGATTTCTCTCAAATCAAATGTATTCTCTTATTTTTCTCTGAACATTTAATTTATTGTTAACGTGTGACCAACATCTGGCATCCTTTGAAAGTGCAGCAAAATGGGATCATATGAATCATGTAAATGGCAAAACAATTACTCTGTTTTCTGTATGCGTTTCATCGAATTAGGAAAGGCACAAACAAAAACATTGATTATTTTAAAGTGTAAATATATATACTTTTCTGTGAAACAAATATATTTTTCAAGACTACGCTTCTCTCGTTTTTTTTTCTTTTTCTGTGTGGTCACCAGGAATGACCTCATTCCACTCTTATCTTGTGTTCTAGTGAGAAGCTTCAGAGGACAGGACACAGAAACATAGCTGGTGATAAACGATTCCAGCTGAATGATTCGGTTTCAAACCAACACAATGTTAGCATTAGCTGTGTGGAGAAAGAAAAGCCAAGCGCTGAGGTGATGTCTAGGATAGTGCATTTTTAATTATTGTGCTTGGAGGAAACAAGACAATCTCTCTGAACCTCATCCGACAACTATAATACATTTAAACATCAGAGGTCGACTAGAATCTCTTCTGTACATATGAGCAATACTGACTTTAAAATAATACTTGTTTATCCTAACTGTTCAATATAGAAGACAAACGAAAAGCGACCGATAATGCTCGCCGTTTCCGATTTCATAGTTGGGTTTCACAAAGTCAAAGTTCAAGCCAGACACTGAGCACGCATGAGAGTAATTGAAAATACTAATTATGGCTTAACGGACAAAAACTAAATATCCTGTGTTCGCAATGGTGGTACTTATTGCCACATTCAGTTTGTGAAAAAATATGAACCAAAATTTAATATTACAAACAATATATACACCTCATTTTCCCTTCAATATTCCTCCAATGTACAAGCGCAATATCACTCACACACACACACACACACACTAATCTATACATCATTTAAGTTCCCAGTTCTTATTTACACATATTTGGTAAAACCCTGATTTCGACAGTTTTTAAAACTCACCTTTCACTTATTTAAACGTAAAACACGATTGATTGCAAATACCAAAGAGCAAAAAGACTACCAGCTCTTACTTTGATCCAAAACATTTGACCTAAAAGGCAAATTGTAAAGTGTTCAAGCAGTCTTCCTGTTAGTTCATCGTACTTGTTTTTCCTCAAAGTTTCATTACTTAAACAGTTGAATATATTAAAACTATGGTCCCAAAGTACACAATGTAATATAGTGTAACAAGTATGGACAACATGTACAAATACTAAAATACTGCCAGTAACCAAACTTCACAACATAGATGTTGATAACAGACTGAGGGCAGTGGGAGGTGTCTATCCATGGTTACTGTAGTTTTCATTACAGTTGGGGTCCAGGAAGCAGATGTTGTCTTGTGAGAAGTTGTTGCTGTTGTTATGGGATGGGGGCTGCCTTGCTCTGCTAGGGTTGCTGCTGTGACTCTGAAGGGAACTGCTGCTGGTGGCGTTCACCTGCTGAGCCCCTCTGCTGCTGGGGACGGGCAGATGCGATCTGGGTCTCGTCACTCGCTGAGGAGAAGCATGACTACCGTCGATCTTTACACAGACAGCAATATACAAAAAACAAACGTATTTTTAACAAAAACAGAGAATGCACCTTATACATGTGCTTTGTTACAAAAACCAGCAATCATGCTGTTTACTTTCGGAACCTGACTGTGGTGCTCTATTTGTGCACTTTACATTGAGCATTCTATATTGTTTATTGATGAGGCTCCATAACAGTTAGGATGTTGCCTTAGAGGGCAGCTACCTATGTAGTTGGCTCAGTAGGCTTTGGAACAGAGCCATGGTGTTTTATCAAAGGCTTGCCTTCTGTGGTGGAGGATGGGTCATATCCACAGCACTCTCTGTTGTAACAGGATTTGTTTGGGGCTGCGTGACCTTGCCATCACTCCTCTGAGGACTGGGTGGAATCGAGTCTGGAAGCATGATGAAGTCCTCTTTAAAAAGAGCAATCTGTACCAGGTAAAAGAGGAAACAAACACAGCTCGTCAATTCCTAGAAACTGCAAGGCCATGTGCTAAACTGTGCCAGACTGTTTGTGTAGGTTGAACAGAAAGTCTCTAAGAGAAGCTCAAGCGGGTGTTTTTTTTTTTTTTGGAGTTTGCACAGACTAAATCTGTGACTAGAGGATTAAAGCAGCATTATGATGATTTCTGAAGGATCAAGTGACACTGAAGGCCGGAGTTATGGCTTCTAAAAATTCACCTTTCCATCACAGGAATAAATTACATTTTTAAATATATTAAAATAGAAAACATTTATTTTAAACTCTAATAATATTTCACAAAAATTCTGCATTTACTGTATTTTGGATTAAATAAATGTTACCTTTGTGAGCATAAGAGAGTTTTTAAAAACAATTAACGACCCCAAACTTTTGAGCAGCTGAATATGTGAGTATTAATGTCTATTACCTTGCTTATGTCTGGCTCAGATTTGCTAGCGCACATGGTCTGGAGTTCTCTGATGAGATCCGTCTCATCATCAGAGCAGAGAGACAGACCCACAGCAACTCCATCACTGAGTCTGCAGGAACTGACAATACATACATGTACATAATCATTGAATAACACTGCCATCTGCTGGTAGTACGAACATAAGTTCTGGGCACATAAGAAACACACCTTGAATGATTGACATTTGTTATTGGGTGAGTGCTTGAATTGGCCAGAGATCCTTTATAATAAGAATAAAAAACATAGATTATTCAGAAAATTTAATATAAATAGAATACCAACAGTAGCTTGTTGTTACTGAAGCAGAACTGCATATACTGCAAAATCGAAGCAATTACATTTGTTATTGGGTGAGTGCTTGAATTGGCCAGAGATCCTTTATAATAAGAATAAAAAACATAGATTATTCAGAAAATGTAATATAAATAGAATACCAACAGTAGCTTGTTGTTACTGAAGCAGAACTGCATATACTGCAAAATCGAAGCAATCGGTTACACCTCACCTTCTCTTAAAGAGCAGCAAGAGCTCCTCCCAGAGGCGGGGCTTCCTTTCTTCCTTGGACTGGTATTGGCTCGTCTCCAAGCCCCATTATCACGTCCTTTTCTGCCACCTTTCCTGTAGGCGGAGCCAATGGTGGAAAGAGGGAAACATCCTCCCTGGAACTCGGGTAAGAACCTGTTAATCTCTAACCACAGAAACGGAAAAGAGTCAAATTTGTTTTCAATAAGTACCAATAATGACTACACTGAAAGATTTAATGGCTGACGGTCAGTGTTATTAAAGCTACTTTGCTACTTTTTGCCCAGTACTGAAATAGCTGCATTTTTGTGAAATTATCTGAGCTACTGTCACACTACTGATAAATGTAGTTACATCAGTAGCAACATTTAGTTCAATGTGTTCCTCAACACTTTTGATGGTGCTGTACCTGTTCTGGGCAGTGGGCAGCCTTGCAGAACAGCCTTATTCAGCAGGATATTGAGAGCTGCTTTGACTACTGCTCTCTGACCTGGACTCAGTCCTTTGTTGTTGGGAGACTGTCGTTGGGAGGGAGAGCGTTTGGCTGTTACTCTAGATATAACAGCATCCTCGACCCGTGGAACTATCACTGCATTCCAAAGCCTCACCAACCACCTGAACACAAAGACACATGGACCAATATTAACAAATAATACTGCCTGACCTGTCATAGGAAATAATATAAATATCATTATTATTTAAGTTTAATTTAATTCAAATTCATGTAGTGTAAAAAATACAGATTTTTCTATACACATTGATTCTGAATATTCAAAACCGTTTCAATACTTTCTGCAGTATCGATACAAGGTAGCAGTTGTGATTTGTCATTCTCTCTTCTCTCCAACAGTGAGTTGACACACACCACACTGTATTTTAATTAAATAAGTATATAGTCCGTCGCACTGTGTGTTTTAGAGCTTTCACTATAATCATTTACAAATATGCAGCTCATGGTCCTGTTTTATTACAATAGTAATATATTTTTAATAATAATATATTAGTTAGTAGTAGTCCCATCTCCTATTAGGGCTTGAGGAATCTCAGACAACAGTTTCAGCTGATAAGAAGATATTTGATTATGGTCAAAAATATATTAACCTAGATACTTTTCCAATTTTCTCCCAAGGTATCGAAAATGTTATCAAATATTTTTCAAAGAACTGTATTGAAGTTAGAAATTCCAGTATCGTGACAACACTAGATCGACATACTTGGGAATGGCCTGAGTCTGTTCTGCATTCACAGGGCAGGAGAGGAAGATATAGGGTCCCAACAAGGCTTCTGAGGTCCCCAGACGCGTCAGGCAGGCGTTGAGCTGGTGCCACACTGAGCACACCCAAGAAAGCAATTTGTGTACAGGATCATCAGATGTCCAGCACTGGCCCTGAGCCTGTACAGCCATAGAAAAACTCGATTAAAGTTTTTGTAACGAAAATTACGTCATTTACTCTCATTCCAAACCCATATTTTCTTTCATTTGTCACAAAAGGAGCAATTTTGAACAATGTACTGTTAATGATGCAAAGCACCAAAAACCATCATTAAAGTGGTCCTTTAATCCTGACATCTACTTTAGGCTTCATGAGATTCCATGAAAGAAATAACAAGTAGCCCCATTTGTAAAAGAATTATTCTTTTGATTCAGATCTTTTCAATGAATCAACTGATCCATTCCACAGGTCCAACTCACTGACTCAGTGTTGAGGTTAACAGCTAACTGGAGGGGAAGATTAAGATTATTTTGGTCTATTTCTTACTTAATATCAAAACAAACAAAAAAAACAACAAAAAAAAAGGGTCCCAACAAGGCTTCTGAGGTCCCCAGACGCGTCAGGCAGGCGTTGAGCTGGTGCCACACTGAGCACACCCAAGAAAGCAATTTGTGTACAGGATCATCAGATGTCCAGCACTGGCCCTGAGCCTGTACAGCCATAGAAAAACTCGATTAAAGTTTTTGTAACGAAAATTACGTCATTTACTCTCATTCCAAACCCATATTTTCTTTCATTTGTCACAAAAGGAGCAATTTTGAACAATGTACTGTTAATGATGCAAAGCACCAAAAACCATCATTAAAGTGGTCCTTTAATCCTGACATCTACTTTAGGCTTCATGAGATTCCATGAAAGAAATAACAAGTAGCCCCATTTGTAAAAGAATTATTCTTTTGATTCAGATCTTTTCAATGAATCAACTGATCCATTCCACAGGTCCAACTCACTGACTCAGTGTTGAGGTTAACAGCTAACTGGAGGGGAAGATTAAGATTATTTTGGTCTATTTCTTACTTAATATCAAAACAAACAAAAAAAACAACAAAAAATTTTTTTTGAAGTCTCGATGTTTATTTGAATGATTCAGCAGTCACATGGTACACTCTGATCTAAACTACACTAAATATACTAAATGATCTCGACTAAATTTAGAGCTGAACTGCTATTCTGGTGGTCTTCCCTGCAGCCTATTAGATAATGAGCAGGGCTGACCTTGTGAAGGAGTTTTCTGCGTAGATGACGTCCCAGCATGCCATTGAGGGGCTCGGTGTCCCAGCGCAGCTGAACCCAGCGGAAGTGCTGCTGTAATCGTAGCTCAGCACCCTGTAGGCGAGGCTTGGCCAGTGTGCCAATCAAAAAGCTCCTTTCACGGAAATAGTAAAGCCCATCGTGACCTGTCCGTCAACACGAGGAGAAAAGAGTTGAACCGAACCACTCTTTCAGGTATATTGACTATTCCAGCTCTGCTGCATCTGTATGGATGAGTCTCACCATGGTTGAGGGAGAGGGAATAGACAGATCCTCGGTTCTCCAGGGCTTCACACAGGTCTCCCAGGAGGTGGCTGAGAGAGTGGGCTCTCTGCAGACCCTCCAGAACCACCACAACACAACGCCCAGTGCTGCCTTCATGCAAAGACACCAGGAACCCTGATATACACAACACAACTCGATCAGTACCAGACAAACCACTAACATTCAAAGATGTAATTATTCAAGGAATATTCTAGCTGTAAAGTTGTTATAGGTTTTAGGCATTATGTTGCAACAAAAAAGGTTAGTAAGTGATTTTTAACGTTTAACAGCTTTTTGTTCAGGTATGGTGGCTATACTATTGAAACAGTGAGTATTTTTTTACATTTACAAATTTGCCACATTCACTTCTAGTGCAAGTGCTCATTGTAACCAAGATTTTTATTTTTATAAGGTACAGGCCAAAGGCATGCAAAATCATCAGTGGCCAAAAATAATCATATTGAGTGTCGCAGAATAATCATAGTAATTTCTAAACATTTCAGATTCAACACAGAATAAAACGTTTTGATCTTGTTTCTAGGGGTCTGCTATCTTCTTCCTCTGCTCCTTTACCTACATCATCACCTGAGAAACATGACTCCTTGACACAGCGCTGCATGATTGAAGAGGCTCTTACCACAGTTGATGAAGATCTCCAGCAGGTGCTCTTTTGATAGACTCTCATCTATCTCCACCCTGACAACATCACAGCCAATCCCCTGGGCCTCCTGTCTGTGCTGCGATCACACAAACACAGGTGCATCATAAACATCATGACTAGTACATATGGACGCCCACAGTACATGAGACAAACGAGACACTAATCATTAACAATTCTTTTGATAGCAGGATTTGAAAGAAACATTTGTTATTATCATCAATATCGAAATTAGCTGTGCGGCTTAATATTTTTATGGAACCTGTGATGGTTTTTTTTCAGTATTCTTTGATGAATAGAAAGATCAAAAGAATATATTTAAATATTCATTTTTGTAACATTAGAAATATTTATACTGTCCCCCCTGGGCCTCCTGTCTGTGCTGCGATCACACAAACACAGGTGCATCATAAACATCATGACTAGTACATATGGACGCCCACAGTACATGAGACAAACGAGACACTAATCATTAACAATTCTTTTGATAGCAGGATTTGAAAGAAACATTTGTTATTATCATCAATATCGAAATTAGCTGTGCGGCTTAATATTTTTATGGAACCTGTGATGCTTTTTTTTCAGTATTCTTTAATGAATAGAAAGATCAAAAGAATATATTTAAATATTCATTTTTGTAACATTAGAAATATTTATACTGTCCCTTTTGATAAATTTAATGCATCCTTGCTGAATAAAAATATTAATTTCTTTCTTTCTTTCTAAATAAATAAATAATACTGACCACAAATGTTTGAAAAGTAGTGTATGCATTTGAATACATTTCATAAATGTATTGTACTTTGTGTATGAAACTGTATTGTATTTAGGCCTCCTCATATATTCGGTGTTTAATGTTCAAAAACCTTCAAAAGCATGAAATTTAAAAGTGATTCTTTAAAGGAACACTCCACTATTTTTGAAAATAGGCTACTTTTCCAACTCCCTTAGAGTTAAACAGTTCAGTTTGATCATTTTCGAATCCATTCAGCCGACCTCCGGGTCTGGCGGTAGCACTTTTAGCTGTAGCTTAGCATAGATCATTGAATCTGATTAGACCGTTAGCATCTCGCTCAAAAATGACCAAAGAGTTTCTATATGTTTCCTATTTAAAACTTGACTCTTCTGTAGTTACATCGTGTACTAAGACCGACGGAAAATGAAAAGTTGCGATTTTCTAGGCCGATATGGCTAGGAACTATACTCTCATTCCGGCGTAATAATCAAGGAACTTCGCTGCCGTACCATGGGTGCAGTAGGCGCAATGATATATTACGAAGCGCCTGAAAATAGTCCCCAGCACGCTCCCTGTGCAAGCAGGTGGTCAAGTTAGTTATGTTGACGGAAGTTAGCCTATTTTCAGGCGCTGGGTAATATCATTCCGCCTGCTGCACCCAGGGAAAATGAGCCTATTTTCAAAAATAGTGGAGTGTTCCTTTAAGTTTTAAATGAACAAAAATGCATGCAATTATTTGTGTTTTACATTTCATCCACAGAGTTAAAAACTAATATTTAACTGATAATAGTTACCTTGATATAATGAGAGATCTGGTTGGCGATGTACTCCTGAAAGCTGCCCTCCAGCCCGTGGAAGATGACGTTATGGTACTGTTCCACCTGATCACAGGTAAAAACACAATCGAGTTCATCAAAACGCACTATCAGCACATGTATTATTCATTTAGACCTGCTTCATTTTATAATTCATGCCAAAAATTGTATTTATGCGTGACTTTATGCAGGCTTGATTACTCAAGTGTCTTGGAGGGTGTTTTGCTGTCTTAAGTTACTGCTTGTTGCACTGCATGTATCTTCTATTACAACATTTTAAAACACAAATAGTATCTGTTGCCCCAAGGTGCCAAACTGGTGGTGGAGGCTCAAAGAATGTTGTTTTGGTCCCATGGTATTATAAGGCCTTGTTTCTCTCAGCACTCTTTATCCAAACTTTAAAAGATCATCCAGAGAAACATGCTAAAAAAACTCTCATCTAGAGAGACATGCTAAAAAACTCTCTTTGATGTGGAGTGCGAGTTAGCGTACCAGACGGACATAGTTCTGCAGCAGCTGTAGAGGGATCAGGGAGTCGTAAGTCATCTCATCCAGAGTGCACTCTGACAGGCCTGACAGAAAGCAAAATCATAGCAGCCATGAACCATAAATCAAACCTACAGTTAATCAAAGAGCACACAGAGGCCATGGGAGATCAGGAGATCTGCGTGAAATGGATTTGAGCAAGGGCTTTACAGAGTTGTTTTGACGTGCCATTGCATGAGATGGAATATTCTGGAGCCTGGCTGAACATCAGGGTCATGTGATGAAGAGGAGCAGAGCGTGGCTATTCATTAAAGTGTGGAAACCCAAACGTTTTCAGTATTGTTGATCAAATAAATGCAGCCTTGGTCAGCATAAGAGACATCTTTCAAAAACTTTTCAGATTTTTTAATGTAGTAAGTATCTTATGCTCACCAAGGCTGCATTTATTTCAAATTCATTCAAAGCATTTACAAATATAGTTAAAAACGATACAATTTTTGAAATATTACATAAAAAAAAAATATATATATATTTTCTATTTGAATATATTTTAAAATGTAAAAGAAAAAAAGTTTGAAAGAGACTGAAAGCCCACCTTTAAGATGTATGGTAATACGTTGGCTCAGACGCTTCCGAACGAGGTCCCAAGGAGACTGAGGCAGCTCCTGCCCTGGCAACCATTCAGCATCACCTGAAATACGCGCGTAAAGATAACAGTTTAACAAGAGGATTCATTTAGGAAAGAGAGGTACATCGGCTAGATTTATGTGTCCGCCTATGGTGAAAGACATGGATGTGTAATCCTAACTGACATGGGAGTGGTTTTCATCTACAGTAATCATGTATGTCAAACTTGAGAGCTATGATCAATCAGCTTTTATCCTGCAAATCCTCTTCTCACTCTCTTTCCTGTCTGTCAGTCTCCTCTTGTTTTGTGTCAGGAATAGTAGATAGTCATCACGTTGCTCTCTGTAGGCCAAATAGCTTCCTTTTGACATCTCTTAGTGTTTGAAAACATCTTGTCTTAAGGGAGGAGTTGAGTGTAAACAAAAAAAAGAAGTGATGAGAGAAAGAGTAAAAAAGAGAGAGGGAGAAGGCCAGAGGGGTGTGAAAGAAATAAGTGAGAACTTGGAGAAGGCTAGTTTATTTTCAGCAGCCCTGCATGACAACCCTCGGATCGAGCCAAGCTCAGTTAGTCCCCTGTCCCACGTCCTTCCCTACTTGGCCCACTGTGCTGTTGGACAACACCCAAGAGAAAAGCCATTTTAAATTCATGCTCACTAGAGCCAGTGTCAGCATAACGACTGAAGAGCCTACACAAGTAGATAGTAATAGCACGTTTGTGTGAATGTGATTGTGTGAATTCAAGTCATACTAGTGACATATTTGATATATATATATATATATATACATATATATATATATATATATATATATACAGAGGACTCCTGCAAAATAGAAATATCTAAACATAAAATATCTAAATGTTATTCATCTATTGCACAAAAGCTACACAAACTAATATAAAATATAAACGATTAACAGGTGCAAGCGTATGCAGAGTTTCTATTTAGGCTATAACACGTGTTTGCAGCATTGAGCAATGCAGTGCTGAAATTTGCGTGCTCACGAATCCTCTCATTATAACACACAAATTGTAGACATTATGAAAGCTTCATTATGCATATATTTATTGTGTTATAACAGAGATTTGTGAGATTGCGATGAACTTTGAAGATGAAGATGAGATGTCTTTTAGAGATTATAAATGCAGCGCTCTTTGCTGGCATTCTGCCATGCCAAACCATGCACGCAACAGCCACTCGCTTTAGTTAAAAAGAACAGTGTTCTGTGAATGTTGATGCTTTCATAACAAATATTTATCGGGAGTGTGTATGCTGAGATTTCATAAATTTCGTGGAGAAAAAAATAACGTAACTAGTAATGTAACTAATTACTAATTACTTTTGAAATAAAGTAATCAGAACAGTAACGTGATTACTTTTAAAAGGAGTAATCAGTAATCAGTAATTTGATTACATTTTCAGAGTAACTTGCCCAACACTGATAATATTACACTATATTACCCGTTTTTAGTATTGTTGATCAAATAAATGCAGCCTTGGTCAGCATAAGAGACATCTTTCAAAAACATTTAAAAAAATCTTATTAAACTCTTTTAAATGCTAGTGCATTTACATTTACTTTTGGTTTTGGGGTGAATTTTCATGAGATATTTGTAATATTATTATTATTATTATTAAACACAACACATAACACCTAAAGTTATGGAGAGAATCAAGTTAAATAGACACAAATTAATCTGAATTTCTAGGCAAGTACCTAGTTACACTGTAAGATATACAGTAGATGTGTTTACCTATAATTACAGAGGCCATGCTGTTAGAAGAGAGGCCCAAAGTGTTTGCTCTGCCCAGAACTTCCTCCAGTTCCCAGTTCCCACAAATTAGCTGGAGGTGATTGGTCAGCAGGTGACTCAAGCTTCCTGTTAGTTCTTCCCAGCTAGTATGGTGCTGAATTGTAACTTTGCCAACAGCGCAGCCATCCTCCAGGAGATCCACAGGGCAAAGACGCTCCAGTGAGCTCATGAGCACCTGTACAACCACTATGTACCAGTCTTAAGTAGGGTAGAAATCAAAAGTTAAATGGTAAGGCAGTGGTCACTTAAAGGGTTAGTTCACCCAAAAATGAAAATTCTGTCATTAATTACTCACCCTCGTGTTGTTCCAAACCCGTAAGACCTTCGTTCATCTTCGGAACACAATTTAAGATATGATTTGATGAAATCTGAGGGTTCAGAAAAGTACCAAGATGATTGACAAAGTAGTCCGTGTGATATCAGTGGTTCAACTGTAAAGTTCCGAAGCCACGAGAATACTTTTTTGCGCAAAGAAAATAAAAATAACGACTTTATTTCACATTTTCGTCTCTACTGCGTCACTTTGGATGCGCGTTCAAATGATGTCATTACGCCGGATCTGGGTCAGTGCCGCCACACGCTCGTGTGTTTTTGTTTTCTATGCGCAAAAAAGTATTCTCGTAGCTTCGTAACTTTACAGTTGAACCACTGATATCACACGGACTACTTTGTCAATCATCTTGGTACTTTTCTGAACCTTGAACGTGGTAGTTACCTTGCTGTCTATGGGAGGGTCAGAGAGCCCTCATAATTCATCAAAAATATCTTAAATTGTGTGCCGAAGATGAACAAAGGTAGTACGGGTTTCGAACAACACGAGGGTGAGCAATTATTGACATAATTTTCATTTTTGGGTGAACTAATCCTTTAAGTCAATTATCACATGGCCAAACCATCACATTTGTACAAAGCTCCATCGCTCAAACTATACTTACCCAGGTTCTCTAGTAGGTCTTTGCAGTCATCTGTGGCAACATCATGTATGGTGCGATTGCATTTATCCCTCTTCTCCATGTCCTGTTGACTGTGGTTACACAAAACCTCCAGGCATTTCTGTAAACCAGGAGATACATAAGTATGCAAGGCATCATCTGTGTTTATAAGTCTCCTCTAACTCTTATTTGCTGGTGTGAAGCAGTGTACTCAGCATCAAACATGTCACCTTGTAGCCCCTGGATGCAGCAATATGGGCAGCAGTCCAGCCATCCTGGTTACTGTGGTTGAGAATTTGACTGGCCTTTGTTATGCCAGGGTGTTGGAGCTCCTGGTTGGGGTCTGAAGGAGATGCAGGGAGATCCAAGTCTGGTTCAGGAGATGGGTGGTGTAGCAGGAGCTTTAGAGGGCCCACATGACCTGAACTGACTGCGGCGTGCAGAGCTGTGCAGTTGTCCTGGGAACAACAAACACTTAAGTTTAAGGGGTAAAGAGGTAGAAAAAAAGGTATTTTGAGGAAATGCAATAATTGTGCAATTGTGTAATAAAAAAATTAGAAATAATAATAAATAAAATGAAAATAAATACATTTTATTACTTATAAATTATACATGTTAGAATGTTATTTTTTTAATCCATTTATTTGCGGTATTGTTATATATGTATTTTTTTTTTATTCCACAAACATACTAATCTACCAATAAACACACACACACACTTACAATAAAGCAGATCACAAAAATATTAAAATGCACAAAAGATGAACCAACAAGTAAATGTAAAAACTACCTTAATATAGACCTTTAGAATTTCCCAGGATATATACATATTTTTTTTTCAGCCTAGTAAATTAGAGCAAACTGAGAAAACATCTAAGGCATAATTAAGTGTTTCTAAAACAGGGACCGTAATTACATTCTGAGCAACACACAGACAGCGAAATACCCACGCTCAACTGTCAAGGTAACCATGGAGATGAAAAGAGGGGCAGTATTTCATAACGTATTCAGGAACGCAGACATTTGAGTAATTGACATTTGAGTGACATTGGTGTCATGAAAACTCACAGTTGTGACATGTGAACAGTCTGCTCCTGCGTCTAGCAAGACTTTCACACACTCCACATGTCCCTGTTCACAGGCAAGGTACAGAGGGGTCCTTCCCTGCGAACACTCCCTCTCCAAATCAGCTCCGCATTTCACAAGAGCTCTCATGCACCTACCAATGAGAGAGCAGCTGAGATTGATATCACTGCATAGAGAAACACATCAGAGACACAAAATTGTGTAGACCCTGGTTACACAACTGGGCAGCGCTAAACACACGTCCATAAGAGATTCAAAACGTTTTGTCATCTGGTTACTGGACAATCCACATACTGAGGCAATGTGAGTACATCACATTTTATTTTAAATGCTAATCTGTCTTGATGCATACCACCTACTCACCTGTCAATCATTTAATGCACTAAAGCAAAGGTTTTTAAACAAGCCTGTTGCATACAGCGTTAAAAGAACTGTCCAATTAAAAACAAATCAGAAAAAATCCTATACATAAACATGCACAAGTGATTTGCAAGTATACTTTTTGTAAAACTCAGTCTTTCTCACCTGACAACTTGTGATCAGATCACCTGATAAGTATGTTAATAACAGTTGGATAAGAGGCACAAAAGTGTCTGTTCTTGAAAACACAATAAAAGAGTTAAAACGACAATAGCGAGGAAACTGAGAACAGAGGACTCACCCATGGTGACCATTTTCAGCAGCGGCATGTAACGGCGTAAATCCTGTTTCATCAACAGCATCAGCAGATGCCCCTGAAGTCAGCAGCAGATTTAAGCAGTCTATAGAATAGACAAAAACTCATTATTTACATATTAATATCTACATTTTCACTGTGAATATATACACAAGTAATTCTACATCTATAGAAAAACGATCACTGGATAATGTCTTACACAAAAGAAAACCTTTTTTCAGTTAAGCACAATCTGCCCAGAACGTACCTGTGTATCCATTAAGAGCAGCACAGATCAAGGCAGAGGTTAATTCGTGTTGATGGAGATGAATATCCAATAGTGGATCTTGGTTAAGCAGCATTGACAATAAAGTGACATTTCCCTGGGAAGCAGCTTGGAGGAGAAGGGTTTGCCCGTCATCCAGGGGGACGGGGTCACCGCAGGTTAGCGAGGAGACTATGGAGGGACACCAGCCTGGGAGGGTTCAAGCAACAGCAGTAACTAGTGAGGCAGGCTGCTAGTGTTGTGTCAAAATGTGTTCTCTGATCCAAAACATTACCCAGAAGAACGACTCCATTTGTCATTCAGAAATAATTTAAGGCCACTGCCACTGGCGCAGTGCTGACTGAGACAACTATATTGAAGTTCAGTAACCAAATTACTCTCCAGAGAGATGAACACACAAAACGTATGTTCAAGAGGAAATGTGAAGCAAGCCAAATTTAGTCAAAACAAAGGGTAAATGTTTATGCGATGTACACATTTTGACACAATATTGGAAACATATTATTCTAAAGAATTTATCTGCAATTCACAACCTCTATCCTACTAATTAGATCCTTAAAGATAAAGTCAACTTCATCTGTTTTTAGATCAGGTTAAAAACAAAAAGGCAAATAAAAGACAAAACACAACCGGATAAATGAAATCAGGCAGCAGGCAGTTCATGATAAATCAATCATGTCAGTCAAACTAAAACATTCTAAACATGGAGTTGATTGTTTGAGACACATCAATTGGACAGAGTTAGAAAGACAGAAACTACAGCAAAAAAAAAAACAGATGAATTTTGACAAAGCACAAGGAATACTACTGGCTAATGGGTACCTATGTGAAAACAGAATTCAAATAACATATCTTACAGTGTGGATGTAACTAGTCTAGCATCTGATGCATGTTTGTAAATAGCTTTGTCTCTAGGGTTTCTCTACATTTATCTCAGTTAGTGGAGGGAGTTGAAGTGAGAAAGATAGGCATTGAGGTCCAGTGGAAAGCATAAGATTATTGGCTCTTTTCTGGGTTAAAATGGGCGGCACAGAGAGAGGAGAGGAGCCTCAGAGAACTGCCATGGCTGAGTGGCTGCAGAGAGAGGGAGAAAAGTGCTAATTTTTAACATTTAGCGATGACAGCTAGCTACCGAAATCTCTCAGAACTACCCTGTGGATTAGTCTCTAGTGACAATGAAGAGGAAGACTCTGCTGGAATACTTGCTCTGCTTTCACTGGCGTTATATTTGTCTTTCTCTGGTGCTCTCAGAGAGCTATGAAGAGGCCTGCAGAGATAGGGTGGTATTTCAAAATGTGAGAGAACTCTAAAGCTTCTGACACTGTTTCCAAGAGGAAAATCTTACTGCAGTTGGAGGTGTCTCGTATATTTGGCTTACATACCAATGCATGACTCTAACTAATTGACATCTTTGTCAAAGCCTTTTTGGAGCCACCCTGCTAAAAAAAACAGTATATGCTGTGTTTTTGATGTTCACCAGAATAGGATGTTGTTGTACTGGTGTCTCCACCAGGCTTCTTAATTAGCTTAACCAGCAATACTTTACAAGAAAGACCATACTGTTTGACCAGTCACCATCTACACTAACAACAAATTGGCACTAACCAATTGGATCAGAAGGTATTGCTTTATTCTAAAACAGGTGTCCAATTCTAGTCCTTGAAGGGCAGTGTCCTGTACAGTTTAGCTCCAACCCCAATCTAATACACTTGAACCAGCTAATCAAAGTCTTCAGGATCACTGCAAATTTCCAGAAAGGTGTGCTGGAGCTAAACTTTGCTGGACATTGACCCTGCAGGAGCAGGATTAGACAACTCTGCACTAAGATATACATTTACAGTTACTGTAGTATATTTCAGATATAGAACTGCATACTATTGTGTAGAACAAATGCAGAGAGACATATTTAGGGATATTTAAGAACAATACCTTGACAAACAATTATATTGGGTTAGTTGTCTAGGAATGTCTTTAAAACCATGGAATTAAACATGGAAAAATATGCAGAGAATGACACCACATTCACAAGTTTCAAGTTTCTCTACAGTAGGTGAAACAAAGAAACAGATGGTGGCATGGACACGGTGGAGTGGTAAGTATAAGACATTATAGGAAACAGGTTAGTGGTGGAACACAGGAGAAGCAAAACCATGTTGTAGGTCAATGGGAGGAAAGGGGATAGAGCAGCCTCTGGCATCAGCTTCAGAATGGATTACAGGAAAGACCCCTAGAGACCTGCCTTTCAAGAGAGGGTCAACCTGACCTATTCGTATCTAAAAGTGCTTTGGTGAAGTCAAGAAACTGTCCTGACATGGGTAGGTGCCCTCAAGAATCTTACAAATATTCTTATCTTGGTTATGTTGAAGTACTGCATTTCAACCGGCGGGTAACCCTAGTAGTGTATGAATACTCCTCTCTTGGTTGCTCCAAGTCTATGTCCCCCTCTGCTAGGACTTACTGAAGAATACATCAAGTATAGAAAAGCAGGGGAGTAGAGAGGAGAAGCAGTGAAAGCAAGGGTGAAGAATAGAGCACCCTTTTACCTGATGCTGCTGCCAGGGGGCTGCCCGGGTGCTGGGGGCTATGGGACGGAAGACTAGGTGGGTTTATGGAGGGGCTACTGACAATGGTAGCTGTGGAGGAGGTTGTGACAGGGGGACATTCCACACATGCTGCTGTCGGCTGCGACCCCCACGGCCAGCCGGTACAGGAAGCACCCACCTGTGACGCAGTCAAGGCTGGGACTGTACCGCCCAAATCTATGGAGGGCTTTGGTGGAAGCTGAGGGGTGGCAGTTGATTTGGCAAGGCCCACCCCCAGTCCTGTTCCTGGGGACCTGCTGGCTTCACCTACTACTTTGATTGGTGGGTGTGGAGGGGATGGTGTCTGGGACAGTCCTGGTTTTTTTGGTGGGATGGGAGGTGGGTTACCCCTGTCGATGCGGGCCACAGTTGGTGATTTAAGGCCTATCTGGGGGTGGCCCAAACGCCCGGTGAAGGGTCCCCCCTCAGATGCGGAGTGTGGCAGACCAGGGCGAAGGGCTGCAGGGGGCCCACCTGCTGGAGGGCTTGTAAAGCGGGAGAGAACCTGTGTGACTGTGTGGCGTGCCTGCTGTTTGGCTGCAAAGTTGTCTCGATTTGTGGGGGACAGGTCGCGGGAAGGGGGGCTCTGGTTTGCGGTTCCATTTTGGTCCTGCTCCGAGGCAGAGGGTTGGAATTTGTAACGGGCCGCCTGGACGCGTGGACTGACCCCAGTCGGCAAGGTAGCAGACACACCAGGTGAATGTGAGCCATGCGAATGCGTTTGGCCCTCTCCTCCATTTTCTGCCTGAGAGCTCCCGTGGTGTAGCCCCCGCCCCACACTGGAAGTCCTAGGTAGGTTCATGCTAGCATAGGTGGAACCTGTAGGCTTGACGGGGATAGAAAGTGGCATTTTCTTAGCTCCTTCATTTTCCAGCGGTACATCTGTCTGAGAGGAGGCAGTCTTGCAGACAGTTGCCTCAGTGCCCACAGCCACAGATGCCACAGTCTTGGGTTTAACTTGGGCAGATGCTGGGGCAGAAGGCAGTGGTGGGGCGTCTTTGCATTGCTCAGTTCTTAGCTGCTCCACCTGCTGGCGGAGATTCTCACTTTCAGCTCGCAGCTCTGCAGCACGCATCTCCTCGCGGCTAAGCCTGGACCGTAACTGCTCTTGTTCTGTGTCAAACTCGGCCAGCTGTTTCTCCATCTCCGCTTCCATCTGTTGGCTGCGACGTCGCTCGGATGCCAGTTCTTCCTCCAGTCGTCCCACGGAACGGCCGTCCTGCTCAGTGCGGGACGAGAGCTCCTCAAAGCGCTGATTCTCTTCGACCACACGAGCAGCTAGCTGCTTGCATTCATGCACCAGTGACATCACCACGTGTTTGTTTTTCTCTCGCTCATCCTTCAGCTGAGCCGACAACTTCCTCTGTTCCTGCTCCAGGCTCTGCAGCTGCAGTTTCTCCATTTCAAGCTAGACACAGCAGCAGCAGGGCAAACGTGAGACTCGCAGAGAGTAGATAACACACACATAAAGCAAGACACTGATTATTAAACAATTAAAGGTATGTCAGTCCATTAGACAATGATAGTAAACCATGCATTGAAAATTACTTTAAAATCTAGTACAATGAAACTTGGAGAAAACGTCCTCAAATCAGAGGTCACTTTATGTTAACCTTACATAACTTTCTGCTTATGTCTAAGTGCCACTAATGAAGTTTTTGCATTAATTTATCAGTTGTAGTGTTTTTCTATGTTTTCTATACAACACATTAAAAAAAAAAACTATTAATAAACCCCAATGTCTATTTTGGAGACTGTGGCTTAATTAGTTGGATCTTTGTAAAGTAGGTCAAGGGATCAGTACTCATGTGCTAAGGTGCTGGCTGAGCTGACCACATCACTCATGTGAGATAGCAGTTTGACCTTTGAGGTATCAGTTGCTTTTAATATAAAAATCAACATGAAATTGAATATCAAAAAGGGGGACACACTACTACCATCAACTGCTGAGGACACACAATACACTACTTGCAGGAAAGAAAGGTGACCAATTAACTCTTATTGACACTACATGTTGCAGACAGGAGTGCAGGCTTTATTTACAGATTTAAGCTGCTTAGCCTATGAATAAATTAATACTTGCTCAGAAATAATGAGACAACAAAAGAAACCATTAAGCACAGTGGCTAGTAACAGACAGAAATCCCTGTGATAACAATACAACTACTGTATGTTTATACTATTCATAAACATCATTTAACATTTCCTCATTGTGACTGGTACTATATATAAGAGCTTTTACATTTAACAACAGTACCAATGCAATAAGAGAACTGTCACCATAACAAACCAAGCACAAGTGTTTATTATTGGAACAGAGAGCTCCGTTTTCTGTGTCAGTGTAACATGTAAATATGCATGCTATGTGTCTATATATAAACTGTATCTTGTAATATATAATAGGCCTATCCTAACATTTTACTGAAGCCACTGAGATAGTGGACACAGCTGATATCTGGTCAACAGGGGTCCAGAGACACGCCTGTGAAGAAGCACGCCTGTGTGTGCTTTTAAAGTTCATGGCCGGATTTTATATCATGTAGCTTGTATTCTTTGTAGCACTAGCTCAAATTGTGAAATATAGATTTACGAATGTGTTTGGCAGAGTGTTTTAGAGCTTAGCATCCATTTCTCTCCTTTTCTAACACCTCCTCTTCTTCTTTTTATACCGTCATTGCTCTCCTTGTCAGGCACTCTCTTTCTTACTCTGTTTTCTGGCATGTACTATACTTATATGGAGGTTAGGAAAACTGGATTTTACCTTAAAGACTTGATTTCATGTCACTATTTGTGCAAGAACAGTATCAGCATAGATGATGTGGACACATTACTGCACACCCCAGAATAGACACACACACACACACACACACACACACAGGTGTACACATTGCATACTAGACTATATTCCGAGAATAACTAGGAACACCTCAGCAAACCTCCGACAACAAACTTAATCACGTCAAGGTAATCCTACAGGAAAGGAGGACTTATTTCACATAGAATATGCAAATACTCTTGCAATAAATCACACACAATCCTTTCTGTGGTCTTGCTCTGTTAAACATATATACATACACAATTAAACACACAATTTAAGGTCTTACCCTTTTCTGTCTGCTCTCAGCGGCCGAGAGCTGGGCAGACATCCTCTCCTGCATCTTACGGCAATGGGCCATAACAGCTTCCAGCACAGTAATGGGACTCGCGCTAACAGGCCTGCAGTCCTTTGACCCCGTCCCGGACTCAAAGTCCCTCTGCAGGGCAAGGAATGGGTCCGTCAGACTGAATTGTCCATATCTCTCCTGCAGGAACACTTCTTTCCTTCGTGCCTATTAAGAAAAAAAATACAATATACTGGTGAGCTTATTTATAGGAACATCATGTCCATTTTCTGGTTAAGATTTTCAATAGCTTAGCATTTTCACAAATGTCTGAATATAATATCAAAATCACCCTTGTGTGGACACACACACACACACATTTAAATATTCATTTATGGTGAATAATCTGAATAAGGTTTCTGTATATGACCCAATATTCTGATCAATATAGGAATACAGTATGCAAGCTGTTCTATGTTATTCAGATTTCCAGAAAAAAAGCATATTGGCTTAAACTGGTTATGACGATCAGGCTATTTTTGAATTTTATTTAAAAATGTAAAACTTCTAGAGGTAAATACATATCTAAGAAGTTGCATCTGCATTGGGCCGAAAGATGCATCTTCATCACAATACAAGAAAAATGTTGTAAAAAAATTATCCATTTTAACGGTAAATGACTGTAAAATTGCTAACCGTAAAAACCTGTTAAATGTTTAACAGCAAGTTCCCTTACACACTTCTTTCCTTCGTGCCTATTAAGAAAAAAAATACAATATACTGGTGAGCTTATTTATAGGAACATCATGTCCATTTTCTGGTTAAGATTTTCAATAGCTTAGCATTTTCACAAATGTCTGAATATAATATCAAAATCACCCTTGTGTGGACACACACACACACATTTAAATATTCATTTATGGTGAATAATCTGAATAAGGTTTCTGTATATGACCCAATATTCTGATCAATATAGGAATACAGTATGCAAGCTGTTCTATGTTATTCAGATTTCCAGAAAAAAAGCATATTGGCTTAATCTGGTTATGACGATCAGGCTATTTTTGAATTTTATTTACTAATTTAAAACTTCTAGAGGTAAATACATATCTAAGAAGTTGCATCTGCATTGGGCCGAAAGATGCATCTTCATCACAATACAAGAAAAATGTTGTAAAAAAATTATCAATTTTAACGGTAAATGACTGTAAAATTGCTAACCGTAAAAACCTGTTAAATGTTTAACAGCAAGTTCCCTTACTATATTCAGTGAAAATCTGTAATAGATACAGTAGATACAAAGATTTCATGCAATTTTACAGTAAATATTGTTAAATGTACAGTTTTCGGAAGTGAAAAGCAAGTAATTTACAGTGAAAAAAATGCTAATTGACATTCCCAGAATTCCTTCACATTTGACGGTTTTTCATGTAATTGTTTATTCTAGGTTTTTTGTTATCACTTATGTACATTAGGGTTTTATGTGAACTAATTTGTGCATGTGCCACTGTGAACCTTCTACATATTAGTATTTGTGGAAAAGCTACTTGTGATGAACTCTGATTCATCATGTGGCTTTCTTTACCACCTGTGTTTTTATGGTGGCTGTCTCTATATTATAAAGGTACAAAACAGATTTTAGTATTTTGGTGTATTGACATTATATCAGTTATGATATGTTTTTTTAAGTTACATTACATTAAGTTGCACTTTAAGCTACATTCGTAAAACTTCAAATGTTGCTACCATATTTTATTATAGTAAAGTTCTGGCAACCAAAGATGCAATTTTTATCATGAATTTCACCTTTTTTTTTTTTACAGTGTAAGGCACAGATGATGTGAAATGATTACAAGAACATTATAAGTGACTTTGTCCTCACAAAACATGCTCAGTGTCAGGCAACCCACTGGCTGATCCACACTACCCATCTGTCCTGGATAATTAATTCTATAAAATGAACAAGTAGATCAAATGGGAGAGATAATCTACAAGTTTACTCTCTACAGGGTGTCCCTATTTAACACAGTCTGTGTATTAGAAGCAGAAGGAACCATACAAAGAGCACAAAGCATCCTGGAGGCTAATTGCCAACTATTGTCTAACCATAGAAGGAAATAACCAGCCTACAGATGTACAAACACACACACACACACACACACACACACACACACACACACATACACACACACACATGCAAACCCTGAGATGGATGACTCTCACTGCATATGTCAGGATCAGTTTACTTCTGCTAAGTATCACAGCTTTCAAGGGCATAAAACAGATAGACCACTGCTGGACCAGGCTTATTTCATTATGAGTGCAGTCTGCCATATAAGTGGAAAACAAAAGGAAGTGGGTGAGAAAAATGGAGACAGCCTCAAATCAAAGGAATGTACATGGATGGATGATGTTTCAAAAAGACTGAACATTACACCATGGTCTACTACAGAATTATGATCAAGTGGAAAGGAATAATTCATTTTCACAATCCTTATGGTGGATCAGGATGGACATTTCTCATATGAAGCACTTTCACCATAAATTTGACCTGCTTGTGTTATAATTTAAGGAAGTGTTTTTATGGAATGGCAGAAAAAATGACCACCATACTAATTTCTCTATTATCAAACTGGATGAAAGGATTTAGAATGAAAAAAAAAAAAACTAAGGTCACAAAACAACACAATACATCAGATTCATTGCTAATATTTAATAATGCTGTTGTTTTCCCACTACAAATGATGTTGCATGTAAACTAAATAAAAACGAATATGATTTCCATCTTTAAAATGCCTAAGTTTAATATTTTATCCCGTATAATAATATTTCCTAGAGATATGAAAATGTACTTTAGAGTAGGAATGACCCAGGAAGCACAGCATGAGCAAAGCAGAAAGAGAAAACAGGGATATTAAAACATACTCCTGTTATTCTGACCGACAACTGTGAAGGAGCTAGTAAACATTGCAAAGTCTAGAGGAAAAGAGAGTGAGGAGGGGGTTGAGGGAAAGACTGAGAGCATGAGAGAGAGTGAGAGATCTAAAGAGATGGGAGTCTGGAGGCGGGAGAAATGTCTGTGTGTCATGGCAGATAGAGAATGGAGGGCTTTGAGATTCTCAGCCATCTGGCACTTTCCTCTAGGCTTTCACAAATCTCTTCTATAATCACAGAGGCTGTGCCGTCCCTCCTCCTCCTTATGTGCTACTTTATCTGTCCATCATGGGGGACAGGAGCAACATTCAACACATTGCATGGTATCGAGAGTAAAGATGAGGATAAGGTGGATGTAACCTGCCACAAAACAACAAAGAAATGTTATGTCTGACTGATATAATTATTGTTTGTGAAAAATCAGAACAAAGCTGCTTTGTACAAAACTGTTAAAATCTGTTAATACGAATACTAAAGCTTTAGTTAGTTATAATGAGGCCATGATTTAGTTGTCGCTCTCTATTATTACTGTAGAAAGAAATTCCAATCTTTTAGAACATTAGGCATAAATTTCTATTAACTGAAGAGCCATTTACTATGACAACTACAGGATAAAAGCCCTCAATTGAGGCCAAAATTTAACTTACCAAATTTACAAGAATATTAAAAGGCCCAATCATAAACTTTTATAGCTTTATTTCTTTGAAGCCCACTTATAATATTATTCAAGGATGTAATTTAGCTTTACATCATTTTCACTCTCTCATTTTAATTTAAAGGAATAGTTCATCCTAAAATAAAAATTCCATCAGTTTACTCACCCTCATGCCATTCCAAACCTGATAGTATTTTTGTCTTCTGCAGAACACACACACACACAAAATAAATAAATACAAATGTGAAGAATGTTGGGAACCAAACAACATTGGAGCCCACTGACTTCCATTGTACGGAGGGGAAAAAAACCCCAAAATAATCTCAAATATATAAAAAAAAATCTACTTTTATTTATGTTTCACAGAAGAAAGAAAGTCAGCAGGTTATATACACAAGTCAGACAAGTTTGGAACTATATGGGGTTGAGTAAATAATGATAGAATTGTATGAACTATGCTGTTACATGGAAGTTACTGTACATGGAGGTACTTTCTTTCTTAAAAAAGAACATAAAAGAACATATTTTGAGAAATGTGTCAGTGTTTTTTTTTTTTTTGGTGCATACAGTGGAAGTCTATGGAAACCAAAACGTTGGTTATCACACTCTTCAAAATATCGTCTATTTGTGTTCTGCAGAAGAAAGTCACACAAGTTTGGAACAACATGAAGGTGAGTAAATGACAGGCTTTTAATTTTTCTGTGAACCATTCCTTCAATATGTAGATTTGAGCAGGCATATGCTAATGTGTGTCAATATCATGGTGATTTGTGAATGACTAATTTTTTCTGGCATCTAAATGGTCCAGGTGGACTGAAGAGGAAGCAGGGAAAAACTTATTGCTCATTAAATGTCAAGTCAAGTCAAGTTTATTTGTATAGCTCTGTCCTAATCTGACTGGGTTTTAAGAGGCTGAATAAGACAAGAAACCCTGTTGAAATTTCACAGACACTCTCTGCCAGGTCTTGAGCTTAAATTGTGTACACAGGACTCCTGGTGTTCAGGCAGGTCTCTGGTATTTATTAGCATTAACATTTACAGGCACACGAATGGCTAAGTGAGGGATCCAGGGCACACTGCCAAAGGGGAAGAGATGCTGAAAATGAGCAGAGAAAGAGGGGAAGACAAGGACAGTTTGAGGGGAGTGGCAGGGGATGACTGCAATGGTGGGTACCAAAATGTTTCCCTACGGAATCCACAACGTAAAAAACCAGTGACAGATATTTGCAAAAACAGTTATCTACTAATTGCAAATCATACAAAGCACTTCACATTTTTGGGGCTTTCTTATTGGCCTTTTCTTTTCTGAAAGGTGAAGTAACGAGTCACTTCCTTTTACTGTCATTGAACTTGACCAAGCTGAGGCCAATTCAAGTGTCCCTCTGTGAGCCACAAACCATCTAAAAAAATCAAAAACAAAAAAATCTTCCAGCAGATGCCCTCAGGCATATTACACTGACTTGTAGAGGTTAACCCATGAGTAAGACGTTTCTGTGGGAGAAAGTGCTTTTTCTGTGTCGCTTCCGTTTGAATGTGTGTGTGTGTGTGTGTGTGTGTGTCCAAAGACTCTCACAAGGGGCCTTTCAATTAGATCAACACAGAGCCGGCTTTGTGGGCCAAGGATTTTCGCAGCTCTCCT